GCTTCCCTTGCTCGCCCCCCCCCAGCTGCTGCCGAGTGGTACGCTCCACGACAGCCAATAGCGAGCGGCCTCGGGCGCAGTTCAAACTCCGGCGGCGGTTGGGGCGGACCCTCCCTGCTCCCGGTGCCATTCCCGGTGCCGGTGCCGGTGCCGGTCCCGTCCCTGTTCCCTGTTCCTTGTCCCTGTTCCGCTCATCCTTCCCGGGCGGGCATGGCGGACGAGGGCGCCGTCACGGTGTGCGTGCGTGTGCGGCCGCTCATCGCCAGGTGAGCCGCCGGGCCTGGAGCAGGCTGGGGCAGGTGGGAAAAGGGGGCCCGCGTTTTGGGAGCAGAGCCCTCGCCCAGTAAAGGTAACAGTGGGTCTCTTCTTTTAGAGAAAATGCCTCAGGAGAGAAAGTGTCCCTGCACTGGAGAAGCGAGAATAACACTGTTTCYGACGTGAATGGTACCAAAATATTTAGTTACGGTAAGAATATGGAAGCACCTCCTTTGATGCTTACGCGGACTTCGCTACTGTACTCTTGAAAGTGTCGACTGGGGTGAATGCCCTGAGCTTCTTGCCATGTCCGTCAACCTTCCCAGATTCGTAATTGTGAAGGAGTGTCATTGGGTCACGCAGGATTTCTGGTTTATGCAATATTGGGATGAGCTTTTGAGGTCAGCTTCCTGATGGACATKGCTTTCTCTCCTGGTTCATACTGTAGTGGCTTTGGAACACATTATTTTTCATATGAAATCCAATTTCAAATAGACTAGATGAGGGCTAGTCCAGAGCATTTAGGAAGCAGGGTATGGGAGAACCCAATCTCAAAAGTGATRCTGTCAATATCAGATCCTCATAACTAACTGGCTTCCTTTTAGTCTTTTCCTAATCATCGAGTGTGCTTGTTAATATGAATGTAGCCACTACAAAGATTTTTTCCTAGAATACAGATTCAGTAACAGCAGGYACCAGGTTAGGAGTTTAACAATTAKCCTGTCTTGTCAGGTTTACAATCCTCATAGAAAAAACTAGGCATAACTTTTTAGGATTAAATGGGATGACTGTTTAACTGTGTTCATCATTCTTAGGGTTTTTTACTTGTTTGTCATCTGTGCATTGTGTCTTTCTTGCTTTTGTGTTTAATATTTATTCTAAAACAAAATTTTTAAAGTGTGCATTAGTGTTACAATAATATTTATATTTGAATTGCCCTCCAAACAGTGATGCCCATTTATTGGATTTGTAGTCAGCAGTACTGAGTGATAGCTTGGTTTTGATTTGCAACACACTGGATTCACCTGCTTTATTGTTTTTGTTTTTAAGATCGTGTCTTTCATTCAAGCGACAACACTCAGCAGTTGTATGTTGGTGTAGCTGTTCCAATTATCCAATCAGCTGTGCAAGGCTATAATGGTAAGTTTTTAAACTGCATTTAAATCCTTTTTGTCATGTATTTCAGAGATAGCTAGTAAAACTTGACCTTCTTTCTAGGCACAATTTTTGCTTACGGACAGACTGCTTCAGGGAAGACTTACACAATGATGGGAAATGAAGATTCCATGGGCATTATTCCTAAGGCAATTCAAGATGTGTTCAAAATTATTTGTGAGGTGAGMAATTCTATTAAATTGAAGTGGCTGAAAGGAATAGTAATATTGATGGTTACATAAAAGTTAATTTTAGTATCAAGGGGCTTGTGAAGGAAATTAATTTATATTTGCCTGTATGTTGCAGTTACTTTGCTAGCYTGGCAAAGATGAGAGTTTAAAACAAAAAGCTAATGGGACTCTATTAGCTGAAATCAAATCAGAACAAAACTGRCTGTTGTTCACCTTGCAAGCATATTAAACATTGATTACAAATATARATAGGTACTCACTTGTTAATGTGGTAGATAATGTCATGTGAAGCTTTGTGTTTATTCTGCTATTTTAGAAGTTTTAAAAGTTAACGATATTAAAGATTTTTTTTTTTAGTGGGAAGAATATGACACTATTTACTTATTTCAGGCATACAAAAGAATTGCTAATTGTTCAATATTAATAAAAGTAAGAAGGTGTAAGTTAAAACTGTGATTTCGAAAACATTTGCAGAGTCCTTGCTTCTGCCTTATGGGTTTCAGGTAATGGTTACCAATTAATTGYAATGGTCAGTGCTTCTTTAAGGAGGTGCAGGGTACCCTTAGAGGGTTTATAGAAGTAAATAAAGTCAAGAAAACTTTCCTTGAGTCCATTGTGCAGCCTTTCATCATCCCAACATTCTCTACCAAGGAGGCAGGGGAGGAAGCRGCAGCAGCAAAGTAAATCTGAGCAAGCAAAGAGAGAAGACAAGCTATAAAAGAGAGGAAAGTGCCTAAACAGAAGGAAATTGATTATGGAAAGGGCACTTAAGTAGTAGAACTATTATCATGTTTCTGTAGGGCAGTTACCTTAATTTTATAACCTRTTAGAAGTGGTATACCATTAATGCAGCTGGAAAGAGGTGGGATAGAAGAAAAATTTTTCTGTAGTGGTAGATGCTAATGTCCGAGAGGATGAGGGGAACGAAATCTGTGGAACAATATCCAAACCTTTATCTCCAAGTTATGAATACTTGCACTAAAAGATGTCCCTCAGTTAGTCTGTTCTTTTTTTTCCTTTTCTCTTTCAACATTAGATTCCAGATAGAGAATTCCTGCTAAGGGTTTCTTACATGGAAATCTACAATGAAACAATTACAGATTTGCTTTGTGATAGTAGGAAAAAGAAGCCTCTGGGAATTCGTGAGGATGTTAATGTAAGTGGATGTTATACATATCATATCTGCTTGGAGTAAAAGAAGTTGGGAAAAAATGCCTTCAGAAGCATCTAATGGAAAACTTTCTGGGACAAATTGTCTAGTTMAATCTTCAGCATTAGTAGAAGGACACTTGATGTACCTGAATAACAGCAGTGACTTTGGGCTTGCTATTGCTAGTTAATCTTTATAAATCTTTATAGAAGTAGATTTGATCCTCAAGTTTTCCAGGMTGGTATATTTTATTTAAATTTAAACAGACTCAAGAGCTGTTTAGTGACACTTCTACAGACACAATGTTAAGCTCAATGTGCTTCAAGTTTCCAACAGATATACAGAGTTACTTTAATATCATCTTCTGATCATCTACCAAGTAGATACACTCTTCTTTTACTGTCATCATAGAATAACAGCTAGAGTAGAACTATTCAGTAGTATGCTCCCTATAGAAAAAGAAATCTATATTAACGCCGTCTTCAATTTCTTTATATTAAGTTTTGTAGCAAATAATAAAAAACATTGGTTTGGGTTTTGGGGTGCTTTTTTTTCTTTGGTTGCCTTAAATGATCATGGGTTTGGAACATAGAAAGAAGGGAAATTTACCAGTTGCATGACTATGTCCTTATAAGATTTACTCCTGGATTCCCTCAGAAATATGTCAAGAAGGCTATTTCACTCTGCATTTACATTTTTTAGGAWACTAAGTCTCTGCTGTTTGATTCTTGTGCCCTTAGGCCACAGTTTTGATCAAGGTTTAAACTTTACTCATCTTTTGTGTTTGGAGTAAAAGCACATTCACCTGTCGAATAAATACCATAATAATTGCTGGTAATGTTAACTTTTTGTACTGAAGTAGGCTTTGGAGTTCAGTAAAATTTATTACTATTTATTCTATAGAGGAATATATATGTAGAAGATCTGATTGAAGAGGTGGTRGTTTCCCCAGAACAAGTTATGGAATGGATCAGAAAAGGAGAAAGTAAGTATTTAGGAAATATCAGCTGATAGCTTAAAAAAGTTTGTTTAATCATGTATATGTAGAACCATGGAGTATCCCTTGGGGTTTATATTAATAAATCAAAGATTTTCAGAGAGTTTTAAAATCGTGGTTTTTGTCTATCTCCCGTTTATCAGTTTATAAACAGAAGTATTCTAATACTGTTTCTCGACAGGAAATCGCCATTATGGAGAAACAAAAATGAATGAGCACAGCAGCCGTTCTCACACTATCTTCAGAATGGTAAAACCTGTTTCACTACTACTTCACATCTGTTTAAAAACAGGAGTGATTTTGTTGTTTTCAAAGTGACAAAAACTTTMTTGCACTTTATTGCATTTCTAGATCATTGAAAGCAGAGAACGAAGTGACCCTTCAAATGCAAACTGTGATGGAGCAGTCATGGTTTCCCACTTGGTAAATGTCTATTTAAGACCTTTTGGAGTACAGCCTTACTGTTACTATTTGTTTGAGAAAATAATAGTGCATCAGAATAACTTACAAGAATTATTTGTTGTTAACTCTGACAGATGTTGCTKAAGTATAGAGGGAGAGTCCTGGGGCATTGTCTAGAGAAGATCTTCCCACCAAAGGGAGTTCTACATGAGAATTATTCAGAKTGGGTTGGGGAGTGTTATACCTTCCAGGAGCCTAAGGGACTTGCATTTGCATGTCAGAGCGCTCTTGCACTCTTTGTTAAATATATCTTCCCCTTCAATTGTTTCTGTCCACCGACAAGTTCAGTGAAGTAACTCGTAAAAGGGAAAACCTTAAGACTTCTCTTATCCTCAGATTTAGTTGTTGTTAAAAGAACATGTGACCTTTTAATTGCAAAAAGATTTTTTTCAGATGTAACCCCACTTAGCATGTTTGGTGGATTTCTGGCATATGAAATACCATAGTCTAGGGGGGAATGCAATTGGACACCATGAAATTTTATGGTTTCAGAAGCCTTTTCTTGATTCTTAGAAAATTATCTGAAACAACTGCAGGAATGGAACCAATGTGAAACTATTTGAACCTGCTAAAATCTGCATGAGTGCTCTTACCCAGAATTGGAAATAGCATGAAGTTAATCATGGATTGTGGAAAGAGCTTTCTATTCTGKCTTCATGTGAAAAGGCTCTGGGKTCTGAATGTTGTAARCACTTCTCATGCACTAGTATMTSATCAAACTAATGCCTACTTTTTGTKCTAYTGTAAGTTATGGTATCCACTGTTCCTACACCACCCCCCTCTGCCCTGTCTCAGTTCCAACTGACTTCAGAGTAACCACGACTAACACGGGTGAGGGGTTTTGGCCCTTTTGGCTTGTTGCTGCTTGGTGGAGTTRGTACAGGACTTTACACTTCTGAAGCAAAAACCCACTGAAGTGAGGGCTACTTGTGCAAACAAATAATTATGGGATGCCACAATGTTCTAGTTGACTTTGAACCAAATTCAGAGTGTGGCTCTTCCTCTCGTTGTGAATTTCTTCTTTTCCTTATCTCCACAATGGTTGGCAGGCAAGCAGAGAGATACAGTGGACTCAGAACAGGATACTAAATAATCTCATCTAGGCTCTTTCCTATGAAACATTCTTACAGCTTGAATTAGTAGCTAACACTTTTATACTGAGCAACTGAATTTATCTTTTTGTGAATGAGGATGGAGTTTGTTGCAGGGCAAGTCTGAAACACTATTTGGGATGGTATAATAAAGTTCATACAAATTCCATGTCCCTATGTACCTTGAAAGTATGAGTTGTGTGTAGTAGCTATGCGTTACTTTCAGTAATGACAGACCCCTTGCTTTTTTTAAGTTTAGTTTATGAAATTCTTAGCAGAGATTTAGAATTATGAGGTTTAAAAGCAGATTACCTCAGAACTAACCTGTGACTTATTTAATGAATTTGCAGAACTTGGTAGATCTGGCAGGCAGTGAAAGAGCTCGTCAAACRGGAGCTGAAGGTGAGTGTTAAATGAGGCTCYTCTGATGACCASTTCTGTTAATTAACYCTTACAAGAAACTMTGRTAGAAAGGAGATTATTTGATCTATRTGTTATTGTGTTATTTATTGTTTATAAATAAGGCCTTTTCCCCTTTGTAGGGCAGGCTCTACTCTGGAAAATGCTGTAAATGCTGTGAAGTGCAAACAATTAAGTAGTAATATGCCTTTTCTAGAACTGCAGGCCTAGCAGTAGTCCTGCACTGAGATAGTGGAATGGAGRTGACTCAGTGAAGGTGTACCTGTAATAACAAAATCACTAGAAGCTTTTCAGGGACTTTTGTGTAAAGGTGAAAAGTGAATAGATGGCTCACTCTTTGGGTAAGAGGAAGTTTGTCTGTTAACAGTGACAGCATGAAGCTGCACAAAAGTGCCTTTATGAGCAAAAAGGGAACTGAGGGAGACAAATAATAGTCTCTTACAAAGAAGGACTTATCTAAAACTTGTATGTAAGGCTGGCTTGTTATATGTGTAAGTGTAGGCATTTGCAAAATTTAGACAGGAAGCAAAATTAAAGTTCTTATGGCCCCAGCTACTTGCCATGTAAAGGTTCTAAATGTTTATTTGTGATTACTATTTTATTTCAATGTGTTTTTTCTATTATAAATGATTCCATACTGGCTGCTGATGGGTCACAGTGCATTGTGGCACTTGAGATTTAACTCTTGGGCAATCCCTCTGCACTTAAAGCAGCACAAAAGCTTGACAGGTGGAAAATGTATCTAAATACCATTTAAAATTTAAAATAATATTAATAAAATGTGTGGYACCTAGGTGTTCGACTGAAAGAAGGCTGCAATATAAATCGGAGCTTGTTCATTCTGGGTCAAGTTATCAAAAAGCTTTGTGATGACCCTTCTGGGTAAGCAACTTATGCCTGTTATAAAGCACTGCTACACTAAGAAAATAAAATCCTTTCTTTATAATCTTATTTTATAAATATATTTATTGCCTTTTTTCTATGCAGAAATCTGATTGGTTTTTTTTCTTAGCTTCATAAATTACAGAGACAGCAAGCTGACTCGAATTCTGCAGAACTCCCTTGGAGGAAATGCTAAAACAGTTATTATTTGTACRATTACTCCTGTTTCTTTTGATGAGACACTCAGTACTCTTCAGGTAAAGCTTCTCACCTGTTATCCTGCACTAGTCATTGTAGACTGGTTTGAGGAGTGGAAAATGTAATCTGCTGCATCTTTAATGATTTGGATATTTTGAAAGGCTTCTGTAAACTCAGAACTTGAAATATTTTTTCGGACACAGCATCTTGTTCCACTCATCTTGTGCTAGGTTGTCTACCTAGAGCTTTCTGAAAGTTGGAATAAAACTCCYCCTCTCCYTTGTCAGGCAGGAGATAACRGCTGTTATCTCMTTGACCWTTTCCAAATATAGTTAGAAAARTCCTTGWCAGCACAAGACRTTAGGCACTGCAGGAATTGAAATGTTAATGAACTGTATGTATTCTTTAGGTAGGATTGTCTTCCTTTTTGTTGATGTTTTGAGTTTTTTATTAAATAAAAAATAAYTTGCATAACACTTAAGAGTATCCCTTCACATTTTGGGTATTAATATCAAGCAAGGAAAACATRCCTTTTCAAAGCTTAGAACACATTAAAAATAAGCTAATTCAAATATTTGTGTCCTCTTATCTGCTGCTCTTTATCTACTAAACTCTCCCTTAAATTCTGTTTGGAAATGTGGGTCAGAATAAGTCTTTTTAGATACTTGTTCTTGAACTAWTGCCCATGAAAAAATGTTCTTCCAGTTTGCCAATACAGCCAAAGGAATGAAGAATACACCAAAAGTCAATGAAGTACTTGATGATGATGCTCTCCTGAAGAGATACCGCAAAGAAATTCTGGATTTGAAAAAGCAGCTGGAGGAAGTATGTAATAAATTAATCTATCCTTAGTACTGATAGCTCTTTGGAGACCACCTGTTTTAAACCAAAAGCAGTTAAATTTGGAGGGGTAGGTGAACTCTCTAATGTGATATCTGCATTTTTATTGAGAGAATAGTAATTAAAAAGATGATGCATAGTCTAGAACAACTGATGATAGTCAACATTGTGTGAAAATGAAGACTGAATGAGATCAACTAACAATTGTTAGTTGGTTGCACCTAATCAGTAGGTTAACATAATTAAGAAGTAGCACTTTGTCATGCCTTTATAGCATACTTTTACTGATCAAAAGACACAATATAATTAATTAATCTAAGAAGTTATTGAATGTCCAATAAAGATCCCAACTTTCTATTTTTTCCTCCCTTACTGATGTCTAACTTCAGTCTGAGTTGCAGGAAGTTGCATCTGCATTGATATCACTGGCAAAGTTGCGTCTAGAAAATAAACAACAGTAACTTGCCACCAAACCATGTAGTTTCTCATGTTTATCTTTCTCTAAAAATCTATGGAACTGTGGAATAATCTTGATATCTTGTTAGACCACAGATGATAAAACATAAATCATGGGAAAATAATGATGCTGAACATATTGTTTTAGTGCATTAAATCAAAGTATGCACATTTTTAATTGCAAATTATAAATACCCTTAGAGAAAAAAATTTAGAAAAATTAATTATTTCTCTTTTTTAAATGATTATGAATTTGCAACATAGACTTGAACTTGGGATTATGTTTCCTTTCTTCTGAGATAGTAGCTAGTGAGTTATGTTTCAAAGAAAGCTTTCTTTTGTAGCTAGAAAAATCTGAGGCTATATWGTTTCTGGGAATTTTGACCCCTTTTAAATACTAAATCTGCAGTCAAATAGTAGACTAAATTGTCAGTTTAATATTAACAATTAAAGATTCCTCTTCCAGACTTTAAAGAGTATATGTGTGTAGTTTTTAAATTTATCTTCTGTAGGAGTAGTTTCTGCTCTTAYAATGTCAGTTTAATTAATCTCCTCTTTATGGAAGGTGTCTTCAAAAACTCACATTCATGCAATAGAAAAGGACCAGTTGGCCCAGCTGTTGGAAGAAAAAAATTCTCTTCAAAAAGTACAGGAAGACAGAATACGAAACTTAACGGAGATGCTGGTGACTTCTGCTTCCTTTGCCTCAAAACAGAATATTAAAGTAAGCACCTGKTCCAGATCTTACTTGATAACTCTGAAATACTTTGCAAAAGGTAATATTAAATACATAGGTTAATATTGATAATAAAGAGTAAGTATGATGGGCAGTTTTCATGTTTTTTAGTATTTTTAAAGGKCTGACTTTTAAATAAATTTYTGARTATCAATTMAATGTGTTGCCCTGTGCTGAACAGACCACAGAAACTTTTTGCTTTCCAAGTAATTTTGAGGAAACTGCAACATACTGTCTAGTTAACTGCTGGTACTGATCCAGAACTAGTCTGATGCAATGTTTACTGTCTACCTAGTGGTTTGGTTTTATCACTTTTTCTGTRAATGCTTTTTTAAAGGCCAAGAGAAGAAGAAGAGTTACTTGGGCTCCTGGTAAAATAAACCAGGGAAATGTGAACTTCTTTGAAGACTTTGAAAATGCAATGGCGACTGAAACAAAAAAAATGAAGTTGTCTCTGCCAGCAGTACCAGATGTGGAGGATTGTAAGTAACTTTGGGGAAAAAATAAGGAAAATCTGCAAAGCAACTTTGAAGTCAGAAGTAATCCATTTTTAATAAATCTAAGTTTAAATCAAATTAATTTGCTAACAGTACAAAAGATAATTTTAGTTGGCACTGTATTCAGATGATATTTTATTAACTCAATTTTAAAAGTTGTTTGTAAGGAAGTCACATTCGTCTACCAGCAAAGAATGCTGCCTCGAAGGGAAGTGGGTTTAGCACAACAATACTGGTAGTTCTTGTGCTGGAAATAAGGTTCACTTTATTTAAAAAGCAGGAGCATAAGTCTTATTCTCCAGGTGAAATAATGTGTAGCATGGCCATCAGGTCCCCTCTCTCTACTCTGTGGTCCAGAGGAGGACCACAGACATGATCACAGGGCTGGGACACTTCTCCTGTCAGAAAAGGCTGAGAAAATTGGGATTGTTCAGCCTGAAGAAAAGGCTCTATTGTGATCTAATTGCAGCATTCCAGGGCCTGAAAGCGGCCTACAGGAAAGCTGGAGAGGGTGTGTAGAGATAGCAGGGAAATGGTTTTAAACGGAGAGAGTAGGTTTGGATTAGATACTGGGAAGAAATTCTTTACTGTGGGGGTGGTGGGGCACTGGCATAGGTTGCCCAGAGAAGTTGTGGATCCCTGCAAGTGTTCACAGCCAGGTTGGATGGGGTTTTGAGCAACCTGGTCTAGTGGAAGTTGGTCCTGCCCATGGCAGGGTGGCTGGAGCTAGATGGTCTTTGAGCACCTTTTCAACCCAGACTATTCTATGATTCTGTGAAATTCCTGATAAATAACTTTACAAGCATTGCGTTACATTTCCCAAAGGGAATGAGTTGATACTTAGCACAAATAAGTTGATTGTAGCACAAATTAAAAACAAATTAACAAAACTCCAAATGTTCTTGTGCACACTTTGAATGGAAGTTGCTTCTACCACCCCAGCTCCCCTGGATATTGAGCTTTTAATTTCTTAAAACTAAAGGTTAGAGGTAAGTGTGACATAAATGGCAGGGTCTACACAAACAGTTCTGCCATGCAGCCTACCCCAATCCCCCAGTTTTTTGGGGAAGTGTTCTTTAACACAGACTATCCATTCCACCCCTATTCTACCCCCAAAAAGGAGGGGGAAAAATGGAGAGGTGTGTGTGTAAAATTCCAAAATTTTATGGGGGCAGTCATTACTTAAATACCAGATTGAGACAGAAATTCAAGGACCCATAAGAGAARGAAAACTGAAAATTAGAAAAGAAATTTTCTAAGAAAATTGAACTGAAGACAAGAGGACAATTCAATGTTGCTGGATTACATCTTCTTATACCCTTATTATCTATCCTTCCATCAAACCCTTTTGCTTGTATGTGGATTGGTTTGGGCTTTTTTTTCTGAATGGGGTGGGGTGGTTTTTTTCTTTATATCTTGCAGGTTACTGTTGAATGGTTCTTTCCTCAACACTTAAACTTTTCCTAGTCTGTAGTTAAGTAACTTCATCAACTTGTGATAAATTTAGCTTCATCAACTTGTGATAAGATGGTCAGCCTAAGTATTGGTACTGGACTTCAGTGGTGTTCCCTTTCATGCCAGAAAATCAGGAGAGTCAGAAGTCCTACTCAGTGTGCTGTGGTTTTGSCACTGAATGATTGTTTCCAAAGTGGTAAAATTATTTTATGGGAAAATTCTTGATGCTCAGTTTCAAATCTGCTGAAACTTTTGTTAATACCTCTTTCTTTTCAGCTACCTTAGAGAATTCTGAATATGACAACTCTTGCCTGATGGTTCCTGATCAAATTTCAGAAGGAGAATGGATTGCTGGTCCTAACATGAATTGGGTAACATCATAATCTGTTTTGACTTTCTAATACTTTGCATATGCATAACATGCTTCTCAGTAAGATCAGCCTTACTGTTCTGTAGAACACCAGTATTCTGTKTCTGCTGAATTATTGAAACTGGTTAGAAAGTCTCTTGGACATCTCTGTGAAGCTGTGGTATGGTTCTGTGCTTCTATGGGTTTGTGGCAAATGACCCAGTAAACTTTGGTCTTTAAACAGGACTAGCTGTGAAAAGACAAGCAACAGGGAATGTAACACTCAAGCTGTTTGATCTTGTAGATCTGCTAAATGAGAGTGTTTCTTTCTCTAGACTCAGAAAGACTTTGAAGAATCYGTGCAGCTCTGTGAAGCATTAGCACTAGAAAAGGTAGGTCTGTTCTAAATTTTCTAGAAATAAGGCTGACATTGCAGCAACAGCTTCTAAAGTTTCTTGTGCTGCTTCTTCAGGATATTGCTGTAAATGAGGTCAACGCCCTGCAAGCTAACTTTAATAACCTAGTGCTGGAAAATGAGCAGTTGAAATCAGAAATAAATGAAATGARAGAGAAACTGAAGGAAAAAAAAGAAATAGATGAATTTGAAGCACTGGAAAGACAAACACAAAAAGACCTTGAGGTAAGCTGCATATAAAYAGATATTAATTCTCTATGCTTAAAAGCTTTCTAGGGTTTATTCAGTGTACATAGCCTTGGATGTTGATTCACAAATGGATGATGTTATAAGCTACATTCAGCAACAGAATCAATGAACCCAGGATTTAAACTGGGTTTACTTGGAGTACAGAATTCACACAAATTTTTGAAGAAGCCTGGTTAAACATGTATTTGTGTGTATATATGTAGCTATATGTTATTTTTATAAATGTGTGATCTGAATTTCATTCTAGACTTCTGTGAGGCAGTTGTTTTGCTACTTAAATATATTTTAGAGCTGCTTTGAAGTATGGTTGCTAAACCATATTTCCATATTTCTTGTGAGAAATGTCTTATAAACCAAGATAGGTCTGGCTTTTGGTAATCCATGGACTATGTGAACATTATCTATTTCACTTAGTCATGAAATAATTTTAAAATAATATGTGAATAGTAATGTCTGGAAAATCAAAATATTGTACTTCGTGCCAGGAAGTCAGAAAAAATGCAAACTTACCTACTGGATAACTTACGATATAGGAAGTGCTGACTTTCACTTCACCTCTTTGTGTGGTTATTGGAGATGTTCCTTGTTTGTCCAAATGTTTATGCTCTGATTCTGTAGTCTAAAATTCTTATTACTTGTATTAGGTTCTACCTGCCCAAAGGATAGACTGTAAGATAAGTTATGGCCAAAAAAAAGCCAAAACAGTAATTTGAGTTATTGAGACAGGGATGTATTATTCCATTTCCTTCCTGATACCTTTATTGGACATTACTTGTGCACATTAGTCTGTGTAATATCCTCCAATTATGACACTGACATTGAAGTTTGTTGCATCCTTTTGCATTGTTATTACATGTTATAATTTAACAATATTACTGCTTATTTGCATTYGTATTCCCTTCAATGATTTATGGATCTTAACTAAAATGGATTCATAAAATATTATTATTTAGCTTGTATTTAAGATTCTTTTTAGAAGACCCTTTGTATGCTAGACTGAATATTCTATCTTCCTTAGCCAGTTTTTAACAAATTCTAAGTTAATTTTCCCTGCAAAGTTTTTGCATAGCTAATAACAGATGCAACATCTAAAGTAGTTTCTATTGCAAGAATTGCTTTTTAATTATTTGTTTTCAGATATCTCAGGACAGTCCATAAAATRTAAGCAATTATTGATATCCATGTAGYGGATTAATTACAGCATTACTAAAARTTCACATACCTCTCCAAATACATTAGAAGAAATGTATTAGTTTGTACAGGTAATCTGTATAGGAATATTCACAGGAGAGTACTTATTTTAAAGCTTTTAGATGATCTTAAATTTATAGATTAGATTTTCTTAACCTAAGCTTGTGACTACATATAAGTACTTGTAAATGAGTGCTTATTGTAAAACTTTTCTAACAAAGACCAAAAGAAAGAAATTGAAAAATCTCCTATCTAATCTTCTACTTGTGACTTCTTTCAGAAAATGCCACTAAATGTGTTCATGGCTTGTTTTACTTCCATTCTGGCACCTTCTCATTCCTGTTAGTGGATATATTAAATCACAAATATCTGCACTGCATTATGAAAAGCTGCTTGGCATCACTTGAATTTGAAGTGTTGTATCTATGCAATTTCTATATTAATTGCTTTGATCACATTGCTCTCGCTCATCAAACTATYACAGATCAAATTGTACTTGAATCCTTTCTAATTGCAGGGAAKCTAAAACAGGGCTTTGCATTGCATCTATCCAATCTGAAAGAATGTGTAGCATCTTGATTTGTAGCTGTTTAAGTAGGTGTGTGAGTATGTATGCAGTTTGCCCACTACTAAAACAGAAAACACAAGATAGATCTGGCTTGTTTTCATGGTGTTGGCAACTAAAACTACTGGTGTGGGTGCTTTCTAACATCCTCTGCAATTTTGCTTTAATTTGCTCCACAGATTCAACTAATGCATGAAATTACCAACTTAAAGAATCTAGTTTCAAATGCTGAAGTGTACAATCAGGAACTTGAGGTGAGCCTCTCCATGAATTTACAGGTAGTAAGACTTGTATGAAATGTGCTTGGTTTATTTAGCTTGAAATACTGAATCTGCTGAGGACAAGCTAGACATCAGTGGGCTCTGGTTAATCTTACAAGCTATAAGGAGGATATGTATGTGYCTAAAAACCATGAATGCTTTCTGTGTAGGTTTTGATACATTCTGACTTGAAAAACCAAATGGAGCACTAGAATCTTTTTTCCCCCTTTATTTCTCCAACTTTTAGGTAGAAATAAATTCCAAACTGGAACAGCTGAAAGAGAAAGAGAACAAAATAAATATATTACAGAATCGTGTGGAAGAACTACAAAAAGCARGATTGGAAAAAAAGGAGACATCTTTTTCAGTGGTAAACTTGAGTTTTCTACGGGGTTGAGGAATCACTTTGGTTTTCCTGAGTTGAATTATTTTTAGGTATAACTGTGGTATAGTAAATATCCACTTCCATAAGAGATGTTAGAAATTCATACAGTGGTACTCTGGGGAAGTCAAGCTATGGGAAACACTGCTCTTTATCCCATCTCTCAAACAACCTGCTACTGTTTTTCTTTGTTTTCTGAGCTTGTATTTACATTTAACCACGTTAGAATGAATACATTTGCTTTATTATGGCTTTGTGGTTTTTTTACTTGTTTGAGTATTGTCTTTTTCAGGGAGACACTGATAAGCTAATTGAGGAAATTCAGCAGCTGARCAAATCCCTCTTTGACAGTGAAGCCGTAGCCTTGGATGCCAAAAAGGAATCTGCTTTTCTCAGAAGTGAAAATTTGGAGTTGAAAGAGAAGATGGCAAGTACCTGTTGAACTGCATTTATGGCTGTAACAACTGCTGTTAAGGGCCTGTCTGCTTCCAGACTAGAGAAGGCAATCAGTGCGGTGAAGCACTAGACATTAGATTTCTCCAAATACTCTTRTTATGGAATTTGTGGAAAATTGGTCTTCAGGAAAGAGATAAAAAGAAAGTAAAGGCATTTTCCGCAGGAGTGGGCGGTTAGTATGTTTACCAGGAGAGACAGAAAGAGAGAAGAGAGCAAAGCATTCTTTAGGGCATTATTAGGACRTAAGAGTTCAGACCTAATTTTACCAGAGAACAAAGGAGAATAAGAGATGTGAACTCAGAAGTGGTATGGAGCTTACTTTGAGCTTTGAAAAAATAGTAAAGACAAAACAGTAGCAGCAGCTGTAGCCTTGATCTCTAAGATATGTCTTGTTAGAGGACTCTGACAAGAATGCAGTTGTTAAATTGTGCCTTATTCTGCCATATTTATCAAGGTTAAACTGTTCAGAGTGACAATTGAAAATGTACCAGATGCATTACTTAAATGTTAAACACATAGACTTTTATTTTGTGTGTGACTTGCATGTTGTATTGTTTTCCTGAGAATGAACTCTTAAATAACTACAATCAAATGCAAAAGGATGTTCAATTATATCAAAGCCAAATAGAAGCGGGAAAAACCAGTTACCGAAAAATGCAAGCTGACTTGCAGAGAGAGTTGCAATCTTTGTTTCAAGAAAACACAAGATTGACTTCACTGATGGAGGGTAAAGTTCCAAAAGGTACTGTTCCAGGTGGTGCTTTTTCCCTGCTTCCCCTGTACTCTCTTTTCCCTCTAATGGTGGGAGGATAGGCAAGGCTTTGGCTCTTGGCTTTTTGAATGCTTGGAGACTATCAGTATAAAAATACTGGAGTAGCTGGTATTGCTGGCATGCAGTAATTGCTTGAGCACCTTGAATTTTTTGGTAAGTTTTACAGGTTTTGTATTTTGCACAGTCAAGTTAAAGAAGGTTTTTGGAGAGAATCTAAAATAAACTGGATATCAACCAAACAAGTGCTGACAGTATTCAGACCAAGAGCTTAATCTTTCAATTGTTTGCCACAGTAAAGTACATTTTTCTGACATTATACTTGTATGAGATCCAGAATGCATTATAAATCTTCTGCTTAATTTAAAATATGCTTTTGTTCTCTTGCACTTGCTTACTATTCTAAACTTAATTCTCCAGATTTGCTCTCTCATGTGGAGCTGGAAAAAAAGGCAGCTGATTTAAAAGGAGAACTCGAAAACGCTTTGAAAGAGAATGCACTTCTACAAAAACAAGTAAATGAGCTATCAGAATTTCAATCCCTACCAAATACTGTTGAGATGCAGAAAAAAGAGGTAAAAAAAAAAAATCCAACCTTTTTTCTTGATTCTGTATTGTACTTGACTGGTAATGTACTAATGGAGGCCTATTGGATATGTAGTTTTAAAGCCAAAAGTTCTCATGAATCAACCTGAGATTTTTACAGCTAAGTTTGTTAAATTGTTGTTTCTCAGGTGTTTAATATTTATRCCTAAGAATAAGTTTAAGATCATATGTTTAGTCACTGTCTGCTGTAATTTATCATTATTTTCTAGTACAACATTTGCATGTCTGTTTGGTATGGTCACCATTGATAACTGAATGTATAGTTATAATGGTGTTGGAACCTGCATACTATTCTAAAACTTTTTTTTGTCTAATTGGGCAAAGAGAAAATATTAAGATGTATTGTGGTCTATGTTTTCCTGTACTTGGTTTCCTATATCTGCWTATGTACCTGGTTTTTATAATGAAGTTATAACAAATATTGATTTAGAAAACACTATATATAAATATTGCTTTTCTGTTGGCAGATTCTTGAAAAATGTGARGAGTTACACTTATTAAAACTGGAAAATGAAAAGCTGCTTTCTGAAGTAGCTGATAATGAAACGAGACTTAAACATATGACAGAAGAAATTGAAAAATCAAAAGACARTCTAGCAGATGCACAACTGAAATATGTGAAGTCAGATCAGGAATATGTAGCACTTAAACAGCTCCATGAAGAAATAGAACAAAAGTACATTGCTGCATCAGAAAGCAATGAACAAATGAAGCTCCAAATAGAATGTCTATCTAAAGAAGCACAAGAGTCCAAAACAACTTTGGATGAAGTGAAATTAGAGGTCAGTGTCAGCTTGCTCCTTTTTACACATAAGACTTGAAGAATTAATTCATAAAATTTAAAAAAAAATGTTTTGGATAAATACTCTTAAAGACATGAGATATATCATTGACTTCGTCTGCCATGAGTGAGTATTACTTATTCTGTGCCAGGGGGTATGATGTTGAAGGATTACTCAGCTCAGTGGTCTGTTTTTGTGGGAAAAAAAATATATGTTGCTCCAGGTTTTCCTTCTGTACTTGATCACTTCATTCTTCTTTTCTTTTTAGTGTTCTTAAGTAATGTCTTTACGTAATTTTTTTTTCTATAAATGCTGCTCTCACCTGCTCTATATAAAGTCATAGAAAAAAGGTTTCTTYATTGGGAACTGGAGACCTTTTAGAACACAACTTTGCTCAAATGAGAGAGAATCACCACAGAAATTGGCCATTAGAAAGGAAAAATCTTAAAAAAAAACAATCAAGAAGAAAAGGAAGCTAAAGATATGTATCTTTGACAAAGCTTTGGGCACTGCTGTGGCTCTCATATACCAGCTTTGGTTTTGATAATTCCTAAGCAATGCTACAGTTTCATGTGTAGTGCTATGCTTCAGTAAGACTTTTGCTGCTAAGGAGAAAGACACAGGAAGGTTCCAWAAAGAAATGCTTATTTATTGTGGGCAAGAGTATAAGCAGTGACCTAAAGGAAATAATTAACTTCATAGCTAGCATCTCTCATTCTTTCTAAGCTTATAAAAGAATCTGTGAGAACATGTACACATAATGGAGTTCTACATTACAATTAAAGTGTTTGGCTTTTATTTTTTTTTTTGCAAACTAAAGCTCTCTAGCAAAATGAAAGAATTGGAAGAAAAAACAGCTGAGCAAAACCARCTTCTTGAGTTAAGAGAAAATCTTATTCAAACTCAGCAGAAGTTAAATGAAATGGAGCAATTAAAAGAGGAAGAAAGGAATAGTGAATTGAGACTGGAGGCCAAGGATTYGGAGATCCAGGCAATCTTGCAGCAGCTTACTGAATGTCGGGAAGAAATAAAAACTCTAACMCAGGAAAGAGATGACCTGAAGCAAAAAGAGGAGTCTCTCCAAGCTGAGACAGAGCAACTCAGAGAGGATATAAAGGAGACCGTTTCAACGGTAGGAATTTTGCATTTTTAGGAATAGATCATGCATGTTAAGACTTATAAACTATATTAAAATATTTAGGAGAATATAGGCGTAGGAGTTTGTGTAGTTGTTTATAATCCAGGAATACTTACTAATAGTGAAATATTTGTATTTTCTTTGTGGATTTTCTGTCTTCTATTCTAAAGAACATCTTGGCACAGGAAGATCTGAGAAATACACAAAGTTCTCTGAAGGAATCCCAGAAAACTGTCAAGAAGCTGGAAAAAAGTATTTCTGAAAAAGAATCTCAGATTCTGAGTGTTGAAGAGGCACTAGGGAAAACCATTAAAGAACTCCAAATACAGGTAAAAGTTTATGTAATAATTAAAACRAGCCCAGTTAATCTGCTTATAGTTTCTTTGCGTGTCCTTAATTTTCTAGGCTCTTAATAGCAWGTGGGCAAGAAAATAGTACTGTCTAATCCAGTCTTTATCAGCTGCTGCTCTGTTTCTGTAGAGCTTCAAGCTGCAATGTACACTCTAATAAACCTTTGCTTCACTAGTGTGCCCCATGTTTGTGGCTTTAAGTGGTGGCATTGGGTGGCAAATGGAAGAAGAGATAATTGTTACTGAAGTGCAGCAATGAGGATAAGGATTTATAACAGTYCCAATGAGAACATGTGATTGTCAATGGCAGCTCAGATCCCAGCGTACAGCAGAAGGGTCCTCCACTGGGTTGTGTGCCTATTTATTCAATAATTAGCAAAGAAGGGTGCCAAGAATGTTGTCTGGTGCTCCACTGGCAGTTTTTCTGGAGGGAGAATCCACACTATGTGAGATGGGTTTTTTTTTGCCTGAGCTGTGTTAGCTACCTGAAAGTCAAAGGTAGTAAACTCAGAATTTGCCTGCTTCAGAACAGATGCATAAAAGGAAATCCAGTAGGTTGTTTCTTTGGCTTCTTCCTTTCAGATATTTTCTAGCTAGAAATCTGGCCTATATTGCAGAAGGTACTACCAAACTATTAAAATTTAAAACAAAAAAGGTGGAAGGGTCCAAGAGTTGCTTTTGAAGCTTTTCTACTTCGGTTATACTGGCTTGATTTTAAAAATACCATAAGAGAGTGAATCAAACAAAATTTTGGCATTTAACTTTATTTTGAATTGATGAAAATGCTG